GATTGGGCACTAAATCAACATATATCAACAGTTTTGGGATAACAAGCTTTTTGCAGTGTTCTCAGTATTACATGTTGAGTTTCTGTTACCTACAGTATATTCAAAACAAATTTGACTTTTTTGTCTTTCATTTTTGCCATGTTTTGCTAATAAAGTGCACTTTTAGGAAATGATCAGGTCTTACTTTTGAAAAGAGTGGCTGTGGATCTTAGAAATTCCTTTTATTGATCTGAAGTAAACTGAATGTGCAAGCTATATTGTTTTACATTTATATTTTCAGAATAAAAAAGTATATTTGACTATTCCCAGACCTGAATATAATACAGATATTGACTGAACTGATTTACATAGATCCAACATAATATCTGACTTTTCTATTAGCCTTGCTATCTGTACTGATAGTTTTGTTACATTACATAATTACATGTATACTTTCATTGACCTTATACCCACCTGGAAGTCTAATTAGCCAGAGTAGTTCTAATTGTCCTGTTGTAAATGCAGAACTGTTGCATTAATGTAAACGTACTAAGGCTGAATGTCCAGRAATACTCCCATTTCACTTTGATTAAACTGGTCTCAGCTTAAATTTGCAACCTGTGACTGCTGGTGTTTTTTCCATTCCGTTTTTTACAAATCTGATCTGATTGATCATGTCAGCCAGTGTATGCAGTAGTCTCATCTGAAACTACACTGATTGCATGGCCAGACATGAAACACATTAGGATTAGAAATATTTCTAAGCTACAAAAAGAAAGAAAAATAAGAAAAGAAAATKTGTCTGTCTTGAGAGTGGATAAATCTGATTTAAGCCATTGTAGCTTGTGCCTTAATGACTTTGAGCACACAGACTAAATACAGCTTGAGGGCAAGATGTGACATCAACCATTTCAGTAAACGTACTCACAGAGGTTTATTTTTCTGTATTTACAAGGACTTTGCATGGACTTCCATTGATTTTCCTTTCATTTCTCTAGACCTAAGAATAACCACAAATACTATTGTAAAAAACAAAATAACTTTTGCCAGTGGCGGCTGGTGGATTTTTCTCCAGGGGGGCTACAATTCCAAAATAGACATATCTCAAAAAAGCAATCAACTAAGTTGTTTCATTCATTTATTAATCAAATGAAAACAATAAAAAACAGCATTACAATGTCATGTAGTGTTTTATTTTTAGTACATAAATTTTGCCCTTCTGTAACTGAGAAGCAAATTTCTTAATGACTCGTTAAAGTCAGGGATGTTTTAACCAGATTCTTAWAGAGCATGGTCAGTGCAGTGAGATGTGATGTTGTACCTGAGGAAAGTCTGGATTCTCTTCAGTGTTGAGAAGCTCCTCTCAGATTCAGCTGTGGTCAGAGGAGATGTGATGAGAGTCTTCAGCAGAGTCACAGTCTCTGAAGATGCAGATTGTTCTCCATGAAGATCAGCTGGTACAGATCCACAGCACCACTGCAGCTCTTGAACTAGATCAGACTTCTTGGTCCTGTTCAAGATTGGGTGAGCCTTCATGATGGTGAACTGGAGAACTGGCTGTGGTCCTGCAGGATTGCCTGTGATATTATTTAAATATTATCCTTTTGAATTTAACAACACAACTGCAAAATCACCTTTCCAGGGTCAACCTTCATCACCGAGCATCAACGTGCACATTATGAAGGTTATGTTTATTATTTAAAATTTATGAACTTTCTTGTAGCTAAAAATACTAATAAATTAAAAGTCACATGACTGATAATAAAATGGACAAACTGGGCCAACAAAATCAACAGAATCTACGTCAAAACTGTAATTTTT